GGCACTTTTACCGCCCCCCCCCCGGTCTAGATAGGGTTAAGTTAGTGAAAAGTTAGAATCTGACCTTGAGCAGAGCATAGCAAAAAGAGAGAGGGATACAGAGTTGACCGGCACACCCTACTCTCTCTTTCTCTCTTTCTCTCTCTGCCTCTCTCTGTATCTTTATCTGTCTGTATCTGTCTCTCTCTTTTTCTTTCTTACTTATTTACTTTCTCTCTTTCTTTCTTTTCTTGCTTTCTTTCTCTCTCTCTGCCTCTCTCAGTGTCTGTATCTGTCTCTTGGTCTTTTTCTTCTTTCTTTCTTTTTCTTTCTTTCTCTCTCTCTCTGCCTCTCTCTGTATCTGTCCGTATCTGTCTCTCTGTCTTTTTCTTCTTTCTTTCTTTTCTTTCTTTTTTTCTTTCTTTCTTTCTTTCTTGCTTTCTTTCTCTCTCTCTGCCTCTCAGTGTCTGTATCTGTCTGTCTTTTTCTTCTTTCTTTCTGTCTTTTTCTTTCTTTCTTTCTTTCTTTCTTTCTTTCTTTCTTTCCATTCTCTCTCTCTCGTTTTCCTTGGGTAAATTCCTTTGGCGCCAGACATGATGAATATTTTCTGTTAACGACTGTGTCCCTATATCAACAGCACATAAACATGTGATTCTTTATATTTTCTACACTACACAGGAAAGCTGGTGGTAGATTTTTTCCGGTTGTACCAATGGGGTACAGCCTTCTCCATCAGTGTCTGGTTCAAGCGCACCGGAGGCTTCACTACGTATTCCGGAATCGTCAACAACGGTTACCACACGACCGGCAGCTGGGAAATCCGGATGGGCCGCTCCGGAAGCACATATCTCACGCACGAGGAGTTTGGCTGCGGGGTGGTGACGGCGAACAGTCCGGCTACATGGGACTTTTCGAGCGTCGACGCGCCGAGTCACACCTGGCATCACGCCGTCATGACGTATGATGGATTCCGTCTGAGCTTTTACGTCAACAACGAGCCGCAACATGGGAACGAGAAGTAACTGTTCATTCTGTCTGTTCGTATTTGTTTGTCTGTTTGTGTGGGTTTTATTTAAGTTGCGTGTATTACTTGTGTATTAGTGTTACGTGTGTATGTGACTGTGTTTTTGTGCTTTGTGTGTTTTGTGTATTTCATCTTATATCCGTGTGTGTGTTTGTGTGTGGTGTGTGTGTTAATAATGTGTGTGTGTGTATGTGACTGTATGTGTGTGTGAGTGTGTGTGTGTGTATGTGTGTGTGTGTGTGTGTGTGTGTGTGTGTGTGTCTATGTGTGTGCGTGTCTCTGTGTGTGGTGTGTGTGTATGGCTTGTGCGTGTGGTCTGTATTTGTGTGTATGTGTGTTTTTGTCTATGTGTGTAGTGTGTGTTTGTGCGTGTGGTCTGTATTTGTGTATGTGTGTCTTTGTATGTGTGCTTTGGTGTTACTGAGAAAAATGAGTAATGGATAAGATAGCTTTACTGGTCTCACACTTGTATTTATCAAATTCTTCGTACCCTTTCAGCTGCTGTTCCGGTCCGATCCTCGCCAGGAACACGCCTGTAACCATCGGGCAGGCAGGTCCGGGGACGGTTGGGAATCCGGAATTCTTCACCGGGCTCATCGACGACGTCCGTCTCTACGGGAAGGTGCTGAGCACAGAGGAGATCGCCGCACTTTACAGCCGTGGTGCAGGGATGAACTAACACTGTTAAAGCTTCAATATGTAACATGATGTCGACACAAGGAGTAATTACTCCGTGTAGCTGTTTTCAATTTCTAAATTAAAAACACCTTCACTAATTGTATCTTGTTTTTTTTGTGCGAAATAGATAAATAGATAGATAAATAAGAAGGAGGTATCCCTCCTGCAGGAGTATTGTGGTCGGTCGATTTTTCTTGTTCGTAGGTAGGGACGATAGTGTGGTTAGAAACAACTGTGCCGTGCCCGTTGTTTAAGAATCGGGGCTGATTTTGAATGTATTTGCAGCGATTGTGTCCATTGTATTTCTCTGTAATTAGGCATGTGGTGTGCCATTATGTTCGTGATGATGCACCTTATTTTTCTTGTTACCGTAGCAGTTTTCATATTGAAGTAAATGCAACACCCATATTTTTATCATCCCGTGGAATAGGCCGTAGCTTAAGTACTGTGTGATAGGTGAGGTTTTGAAAACAGATATCAGGTGGTTGTTTTGTATAATTGTTTGCGAGTATCTTTTGAGATTGTGACTTATGGTTTGCACCTACTACGATACCTTGTCAAATAAATTACATGTACCAAATGAAAGATGTTGTTTTAAAGATGGCTTTGTTCATCTGTTTTGATTGTCGTGTTGTTGATCTTATGTACATGTATTACAAAATTTAAAAATTCAAGGAGAGTTGTCGCCTATGGATACTTGTCATCTATGGATACTTGCCGTTACTTTACAAAGTAAGTTTAATCAAAGTTATTTCGATGCAGTGTCATTCAGAAAGTGGAGGTGAAAAATTATGACGCCTCATATGTTTAACAGCTGTCAGCCATGTTTGCATACATTCCTTCAATGTGTGGTTGTTGGCACCACTGGCTAATTGCGCCTTATGCATGCTGTTTTATCTGCAACTAAATGTTCAGAAATGTGAGATAATATGTTGAAGAGTTTAGGTAAATCCCAATTACTCGATTATTTTTCATTCAAAATATTTTTGTGCGAAAATGTTACATAACGCCCCTTTAACCCTAAACAGTACACCTGGGGTCCGCGCGGACCCCAGCACTATATATTCTGTAGTATCTTTTTTGTTTCTAAAGATTTTTTTCTGAAATTTTAGGTAATTGTCACCCACAAAGTTGTCTCTCAATACAGTGCAGAAAACTCCGTTTCTACCATTTATAAAAAAATTATATCTGATTTTCTTTTGGGCTGCTTTCGATCATAATGGATACACTGGCGTTCTTATACATTACCTTATTTCCGTTTTTATATATTTTTATGCACTCATCGTATGTCTACCAAGTTTTCAGAGAATGGTGTAGTAATAGAATTAAATTTTAATAACTTTGGTGTAATTATAACGTCATATGACGTCAGAGCTAATAATATAGTCCGCCATATTGGATTTTGACCAATGACGTCATCTCGTCAACTTATATTAATTATGTAAGATGTTATTAATGTTGGAAAAGAAGTGTAATTTAATATAAAACTCAGAAAAATTTTATGTTTAAACCAAAATTACTTCTATTTTCAAAAAAACTGCCTGCTAGAAACCCGTTGCCATGGCAACACAAAAAAACATCAACCTACTAGTATTAACCCTCAACAGAACACCTTCCCGGACTGATTAATCTGTACACCTGGGGTCCGCGCGGACCCCAGAACAGTTTTTTGCTGATTTTTAGAAATTATCAACATGCTACCAGCTCAATTGTTTTGCAAACTGATGTGGGAACCTCTGTGTCCACATTGCAAACAAATATCATACATTTTGAACTTTTTCTATTTTTTGGTGAAGAAAAGAAGACAAGAAGAAATACCCGATTTTTAAACCCATTTCAGACTGAAGGGGCTTTTGAGGCCCAACTTTGATCTCAGATAGCGGCTAAACGGCTTGCGCTAGAAGTATCAAATTTGGAGACCTTTCCTAAAATGTCTCTGGAAAAAAGTTCATATTAGTTTGATACTAGTTAGTTGATGTTTTTTGTGTTGCCATGGCAACGGGTTTCTATTTTTCAAAATAGAAGTAATTTTGGTTTAAACATAAAAATTTTCAGAGTTTTATATTAAATTACACTTCTTTTCCAACATTAATAACATCTTACATAATTAAATATAAGTTAAATCATTTAATACTCAGTTGGTGTAAGGCGTCCCACGGTGCCAATTTACTGATTTTTCAGGTCCTTTCGGAAAAATGCCATAACTCAGCCGTAGCTGGTCAGAAATGGTTCAAACTTGGGGGAAAGGCAAAATACAACTTGTTGAGTGTTGAAATATTACTTTCATGTTGTTATATTTCTTATATTTGCATATTTCTATGTCTAATATGATGCATAATTCTTAAACAGAAAACGTAAATCGAGGAACTATAGCCAACATTATAGACAGACGCTTTTTGGAGGGTACATTCTTACATCTGTCACCATTTAGAAACTGTTTTGATATATTTGAAATATTATTCCTGCTTTTTATGAAATATGTTTTTGTCCATTTCAATGCCATAATTTTAGGGTAACCCTAACTTTCTTGCCCTATATCAAAAGACAGTTCATGATAAGCAAAAGGATCTAAACAGGTCTAGGTAGTTCAGGACATTACCAATCATTCTACTTTGAATCTGACGTTCCCTGGGCATCGCTATAGTTCCTCAAAACGCTTCAAAGTTAAGATTATGAATCTTTACCTTCTTAGCAAATTCTAGCTGTCAATCACGTCGGTAGGCCAATTAGTCGTGTATTTAGCACCTCTATGAGACGTAATTATCTGTAATTTGCCCTTGCCACAAGACAAAAGGTTGGCTGTCTTTTGTTATGCGCAGTAATTGTTCACTACAGACAGGCCCAGCTTTACTTTTTTTCAATATAGGTCTTGAAAGAAAATGTTTTACAGACAGTAACAAATTGACAACAATTGAATGAAAGGTTTATACGGCTCATAGCCTGGGTGCCAGACTGTTACCGTGAGGGCCGCTATGTAGGCTACCTTCTCAATCCAGGGGACAGCATTTCCCTTCCGAAAGTTTTTTTTCACAGGGTTTAACCAAGGAGGTTAAATATAACCCCCTTGGTCTAACCAAGGATCAGCTTTACCATAAATAGTTGGGGCTAACCTTTTTCAAGATGTTCCAAACAATTTCTAATAACGTACTGTCCACACCCTAATGTTTTAGATACTAAACTGGCACAGCCGAACACTGTAGCCTGTTGAACCTTGCTCCCGGCATTTAACCAAGGAGGTTATATTACCATCATGATGGCTGGGGGAGCTCGGGAGGCCATGACTATTGTTTAGCTATCTGTTAGTGTTACAGAGGAATCACTGTGGCCCATTCTCCTTGTCATTTATCCCCATTTTTTAATGGGGTCTGATATCCGTGGCCCTTCCCTAAAGGGGCCCTTTGCAGGTCATGCTGGAGGTAACTTAAATATATCTTCAGGTTGTTTGGGGGCCAGATTCAGATCAGAATAAATGTGTTGTAACTTACAGCAAGAGCTTCAAATGGACTTGCTGATCATTGCTTACAGTTGTTTTGTCTGTGCAAGGACATTATACATTGTGTATAATGTCCTTGGTCTGTGTTACTAGTATTTATGCAAGCCTGACATCCGTTCTGCTCTTGATCGGCCAATTGAAAACAAAAGAGGGGTACCAATTAACTCCGCAGGATGGAATTAGCGCGCAAATCAAATGCAAAACGGCAGGCGGGGCAGAGGCAGTGGGTTATCACTCAAACTGTTGCATATTTACAAGTTTCAAGACTGCATTTGGCTCATTACAATATTCAAGTAGGTCATTATAATATTAAATGAGATCTTTGCTGTGGTCAACCGTGGGACGCCTTACACCAACTGAGTATGCATAGAATATGCTAATTTGATGACGTCATTGGTCAAAATCCAATATGGCGGACTATATTATTAGCTCTGACGTAATATGACGTCATAATTACACCAAAGTTATTAAAATTTAATTCTATTACTACACCATTCTCTGAAAACTTGGTAGACATAAGATGAGTGCATAAAAACATATAAAAATGGAAATAAGGTAATGTATAAGAACGCCAGTGTATCCATTATGATCGAAAGTCGGCTGGGGTCCGCGCGGACCCCAAAAGAAAATCAGATATAATATTTTTTATAAATGGTAGAAACGGAGTTTTCTGCACTGTATTGAGAGACAACTTTGTGGGTGACAATTACCTAAAATTTCAGAAAAAAATCTATAGAAACAAAAAAGATACTGCAGAATATATAGTGCTGGACCGCGCGGACCCCAGGTGTACTGTTTAGGGTTAAACTAATATGAACTTTTTTTCAGAGACATTTTGGGAAAGGTCTCCAAATTTGATACTTCTAGCGCAAGCCGTTTAGCCGCTATCTGAGATCAAAGTTGGGCCTCAAAAGCCCCTTCAGTCTGAAATGGGTTTAAAAATCGGGTATTTCTTCTTGTCTTCTTTTCTTCACCAAAAAATAGAAAAAGTTCAAAATGTATGATTTTTGTATGTAATGTGGACACAGAGGTTCCCACATCAGTTTGCAAAACAATTGAGCTGGTAGTATGTTGATAATTTCTAAAAATTAGCAAAAAACTGTTCTGGGGTCCGTGCGGACCCCAGGTGTACAGATTAATCAGTCCGGGAAGGTGTACTGTTGAGGGGCCCCTTTAACCATATTCAGATTCAACCATTTTTCGTCATGCTGGGACCGAGGGGAAAGGGGGATCTCGAAGCCCGTCCTATGTAAGTCAAGAAGCTCTTATCGTAGTGTTGTAATTGTTGGGAACTAATAAAAAAATTTCCACATGCCCCGGTGTACGATGGTCCAAATACTTCTGTCTGGAAGTTGATGATACACAACAGGAATAATAATGTGGAATTTATTTATTTATTTATATATTAAAATTCATCACAACAGTGAAAGGGACGGGGGAACAGGCGTAACACCTTTACCAGCCCTCGTCCCGATACAGCATACAAATACAATAGACTCAAGTATAAAATAATGAGTGATTTACATATACATATACATAATGAAAAAGCTTAATATAGACAGACTACCGAACCCTCAAATCCTGACAAGACGCGCACTTGCACGCAGTGGTCATGTACAGAGGTTGTCAGGTTTAAAGTGATGTTTAAATTTGAATGTACACTAATAGAGATCCTAATCAAGCAAACAAAAAACTTATGCACTAATCTACACCAAACACATTGCTGACTACCATGAAAATACATGTTTAAAGTTAGAACTTCTGTTTGAACAGTTAAAACTTTTGTTCTCACCTAGAGCTTTCTTTCTTTTCTAAGATGCAAAGAATGCAGAACCGAGTAGGAAAATTGATCTTGAAAGCCCCGTACAGAACACCATCACGGGAAGTCCTCTCTCGTCTGGGATGGAAGTCCGTGAGAACTCTACACCGTCAACATAAAGCCATGCTAGTGTATAGGGCCTTGGACAATTCTTTACCGCCACATATGCGAGGGGTGTTCATCCGGTATAGAGATGAAGCCTCCAGATCCACCAGACAAAGCACATTGGACAACCTCATCATACCGAGGCCCCAACTGGAAGTGTACAG